GTTTCGGTTGACACGCGTAATAACTGTAATAATAATATCAGCAATAACAAAGCCTTACGCCTGTAATCCCAGCACTTTGGGAGGCTGAGGTGGGTGGAACACTTGAGGTCAGGAGTTCGAGATAAGCCTGGCCAACATGATGAAACCCCATCTCTACTGAAAAATACAAAACTAAGCCGAGCATGGTGGCGCACACCTATAGTCCCAGCTTCTGAGGAGTGTGAGGTGGGAGAATCACTTGAACCCGGGAGGCAGAGGTTGCAGTGAGCCGAGATCACGCCACTGCTGCACTCCAGCCTGGGTGACAGAGTGAGATTCCATTTCAAAATAAACAAAAACAAAACAAAACAATAACAATAGCAAAATCAGCATGTACTGGGCACTGTGGATACGCCAGACACTGCTCTATCCCATTTACGTGTTGTGACTTAGTAAATGTCCACAGCCCAGTGAGATTGATATTATTTATTATTGCCACCATTTTATAGATATGGAAACTGAGGTCCAGGTCCCTCCCATGGGCAATGGTGCACTGAGCTACAGACCATTTGACTACTCTATGATAAGATGATAATGTGCACTGTTTACTGGGCACCTCTTATGTGCCAGGCACTGCTCACAGAATTGCCACACATGACCGATAATCCCCATTTTACATGCAAAGTTATGATAGGAGACGCGGAAGAGGGGAAAGGGAATGGAGCAACAGCATCTGGGGCAATGGGGCAGTGGGGGATGGGACGTGTTTGGGTGAGACCCAAGGTGGAGTATGGATGGGGAGAATTCCTGGGTCTGGGGCAAGAGGGAGGTTATTGGCACAGAGATAGGGTGATTAGGAGTGGGCACCCCTAGGACTGGGCCAGGTGCAGTGGCTCAAGCCCGTAATCCTAGCACTTTGGGAGGACAAGATAGGCAGATTGCTAGAGCTCATTTGTTGGAAGCCAGCCTGGGCAACACAGTGAAACCCCGTTTCTACTAAAATACAAAAAAATTAGCCGGGCCTGGTGGCATCTGCCTTTAGTCGCAGCTACTTGGGAGGCTGAGGCATGAGAATTGCTTGAACCCAGGAGGTGGAGGTTGCAGTGAGCAGAGATCGTGCCACTCCACTCCAGCCTGGGCAACAGGCCAAAAAAAAAAAAGGAAAGGAGTGGGCACCTCTGGGACCTTAGGTTGCATGGGGACTGGATTGGGGATGCGATGTTGGAGTACAGAGATCTGGAAGGCTGAGGTTGCCTGGGAGCAGAGTGGACAGAGGCCTGGGGGCAGAAGCAGGGCTGCAGGTTCGCTCTCAGCATCTGTGAGTGTGCAAGAGGGGACCAGGGGCTACAGGGGAAGAGCGGGGCTGGTTGGGGAGGCTCTGCCTGTCTGCTCGTGGTTCATCCCATCTGGGTGGGTGAGGGTGTGGACACAGCATCTGGGGCAGAGGAACTTCATTACTCAGATCAGGAGGAGGAGGAGGATGGAAAGTATGAGCTGACAGGGCACTGAGGGGAGCAAGGCTTAGGGGCGGGGCCTGCCCTACCTGGACCTCTTTGGCGTGAAAGGCCACGATGAGGCAGAGGAGTAAGAAGGTGGAAATGCTGATCATGCATTTAACCAGGAACAGGTAGAGCGCCCACTGTCAGGAGGGACAGAAAAAGGAGTGTGAGATCTCAGGTCTCCCTCCACCTGGCCCTCCACCTTTCCTTCAAAACCACCATTTTTTTTTTTCGATTCCCAATTTTCCTAGCCTCCTTCCCCCACAGACCAGTCCCTCTTGATGTATCGGTTCTGGGGAAGTCTCAAAACCATCATCTGGGCCCAGTGCGGTGGCTCACACCTATAATCCCAACACTTTGGGAGGCCGAGGCAGGCAGATCACCTGAGGTCGGCAGTTTGAGACCCCCTGGCCAACATGGTGAAACCCAGTCTCTACTAAAAATACAAAAATTAGCTAGGTGTGTAATCCCAGCTACTTGGGAGGCTGAGGAACCAAAATCTCTTGAACCCAGGAGGTGGAAGTTGCAGTGAGCTGAGAGTTCGCGCCACTGCACTCCAGCCTGGGCAACAGAGTGAGTCTCCGTCTTGAAACAAGCAAGCAAGCAAACAAACAAACAAAAAAACACCATCATCTGGTCCCCAGGAATGCTCTATTTCTCCCCAACAGCTCAACCCTGTTCAGATGCTGGTGTCTACCCTCTTCCTCAGCTCTTCTCCCAAGACCCATATCCATGAAGGGGGGCCTTGAAACTCACATTCCTTCTTATTCCTGTCCTGTTTCCCATCAAAAATAGTTCTGCAGGGGTGTGTGTGTGTGTGTGTGTGTGTGTGTGTGGTGTCTAGAAAAAGACATCTAGCTTCTGGAGAGTGCCCCCTCCCCTTCCCTTCCCACCCAGCTGGTGTTGCCCTAGAAACCAACTTCAACCATCCCCAACCCCAAATCTGGAAGAATGTAGAAACTACCATTCAGTCCTCAAAGACTGAATCACACCCTTTCCTGCTCTCATCCAGAGGGCTGAGTCCCTGAGACCCCAGCCTCAGCTCTGAGCCAGCCCCCTCAGTTCTGCCTCCCTGCAGCTCCCCACCCCCCGCCCCGCCCCTCTCTTCTGGCTCTAAGCCCAGGGCAGATCTGGCCGGAAGCACAGGGCCTCCAGAAACCACGGAGCAGTTGTTGCTTTTTTTTTTTTTTTTTTTTTCCCTCTCTTTGTGTGGCACAACCTTGGAGGAATCTAGAATTCTGGAGAGAGGGGTTTAGAGGGGACTGGGACTGTTGGATTTCCTAAGAGGGGTTGGTCCCTGCCTGGCGGGTATTTGCAGGGGGAGGGGTCCACGTGGGCATCCTTACAAACCATTGCACCTGTTTCTCCTAAGAGGGCTGCCAGCTCCCCTGGCTGGGCCAGCACCACGCCTCTGAGCAGGGGAAGAGAGCCAGTTTCCTGCCCCAGGGGCTGCTCCCCAACCCCCTACCAGAACAATAGTGCTGTTGTCACCAGCCCTCCCCCACCTTCTATGGCTCCCTGGTTCCCTGCCTCCTTCGTCAGTCTGTCTCAACCCCCCACACCACTAGACAACAAGCCCCCTCCTCACACTGCAATTCACTTCTCTGGTGGTCTTCTCTACTTTTCCAGTTCCTCTTCCCCCATATCCCGGACCTGTCTGCACTTGGGCCTGTACTCTGCTCTCTGAATTTCTCTGACTCTAGGGATGGTTGTTTCTGTCCCTCTGTGTGTTTTGAGGGTCTCTGTTTCTATTGTCTTTTCTAACACCATGTGTGTATCCCTTACTGGTGGATTTCTCAGTAGCTTGATAGCCCTCTTTGTCTTTCGGTTTAGCTGGACCTCTATCTTACTGCATCTTTGTCTCCATCTCTCTATCTCTTCCTCTCCGTGTATCTCTGTGGCTCTGTCTCTCTCTGTACCTCTCGCCATCCCTCCTCCTCCACCCCACCTGGTGCTTTTGGATATCTCTATCTGGTTCCCTTGGACTTCCTAGGGTTTGGCACCTGCCTCTCTGCCAGCCCCTCCCCTTGGGGAGCAGGTGTCTGGGTCCTTTGCAGAAATGAGCTCATTAGATTGAGATGGAGGTGGTGAGGGGCCATGGGTGTTATTAAGAGAGACCTCAAAAGGGGACTGAGGAGCTGTGGCTCAGGCCTGTAATCCCAGCACTTTGAGGGAGGAGGATTGCTTGAGTCCGGGAGTTCAAGACCAGCCTGGGCAAACAAAGCAAGATCCCATCTCTACAAAAAATAAATTAAAAAGGGTGAAGGGTGACCCTTAGGGTCATGTATTTTAACCCTTACCCTAATTTACAGATGGGGAAATTGAGGTTCAGAGGGTTGGAACAGCTTCCCCAAGGTCCTACTGATAGAGGCGGTGACCTGGCCATGGTGGAGGGAAGGAAGAAATGAGGGGTGAGAAAGCAGAGGGGGGAAGTGGGGTAGGATGGACCCTGACTCTTCCCATCTGCCAGGGTCACTGTGTTCCCACCTTGGCTGCTGGGTGTGGTGCTCCAGCAGCGGCCAGGCCCCGGCCATGCTTCCTGTTGGCATGGACTTCGGCGGCCCCACCCCCTCAGTGCCCGCCGCCGGCCAGAGGAAGCTGCCTGTCTGACCCTCCATGTGACTCCTGGTCACTTCAGAGCTGCCCACCACCCCCTCCAGATCCGAGTCGGACATCAGACCCTCAGGAATCTACCCAAACTTCAAATCAGTGTCTGCTCCTGGCTCTACCAGCCCAGTTCCACAACCCTTCCGCCAGAGAGGTCTCCAGCCCCTCCTTTCCTGTTGAGTAAGTCTGTTCTCCCCTCAAGCCACTTATTCCAACCCTTGTCCTTCATCTGCCCCATCACTGGCCTGACCAGGGCTGGAATGTGACGGCAGCCTGCTGAGACCTGTCCTGACCCCGCTTTCCCCTTTCTTCCCTACTCACCACGATCTTCAGTCAGCCCCTCTTCCCCAAAGACATTCAAAACCCCCTTCTCCTTAAGACTCAGGAATCCAGGACCCAGCCCCCTCCTTCCCTGGTACCTAGGGGTCCAGGCCCCTGTGAGCCTACCTCTCCTCTATTTCCCTGACTAATTAGCATATGCAGATTTGGGGAGAAATCGAGCTTGTTAACAACAGAGACTGGATTGGGGGTGGGATGGGGGAGGCAGGTCAGGGGAGAGGTTCCTTTCCCATTTCCCATCCCCACCCCCAGGCAGTTTTTCTGTCCTTCGCATCTAAGGCACTGGGTAAACATTAGAGGTTAGATAAGGACCAAAGAGCTGCCGCCTACTGGAAGAACTTTGTCTTTCCTCCACCCTCCCTTCACCAAACCTGGGGCTACCTCTCCCCTTACTGGCTCTTGGGGGACTTGAGTGTCTGATCAGCCACCCTCTGGCCTCCAGGGGTCCTGGACCTCCGGCCGTCTAATGGCAACATCTTCAAAGACTGAAACACTGAAACAAATATTCCCTTCCTTGTGCAGAGGTTCCCAACAACTAACTCTCCCCTGGGAGCACCCAGGAGTCCCAGCCAAAGCCCATCCTCTCTCAGACCCAAGAGTCTAGGCCCCCAACCCCTCCTCCCTTAGATCCAGGAATCCTGACCATCAGTCCCTCCTCCCTCAGACCCAGGAGTCCTGACCCCAGTCCCTCCTCCCTCAGACCCAGGAGTCCTGACCCCAGTCCCTCCTCCCTCAGACCCAGGAGTCCTGACCCCAGTCCCTCCTCCCTCAGACCCGGGAGTCCTGACTCCCAGTCCCTCCTCCCTCAGATCCGGGAGTCCTGACCCCCAGTCCCTCCTCCCTCAGATCCGGGAGTCCTGACCCCTAGCCCCTCCTCCCTCAGACCCAGGAATCCTGACCCTCAACCCCTCCTTCCTCAGATCCAGGAGTCCAGACCCCCAGTCCCTCCTCCCTCAGATCCAGGAGTCCTGACCCCCAGTCCCTCCTCCCTCAGATCTAGGAGTTCTGACCCCCAGCCCCTCCTCCCTCAGACCCACGAGTCTAAGCCCCAGCCCCTCCTCCCTCAGACCCAGGAGTCTTGACCCTCAGCCCGTCCTTCCTCAGACCCAGGAGTCCAAGCCCCCAGTCCCTCCTCTCTGAGACCCAGGAGTCCCAGCTCCCAGCCACCATGCCCCACTCACCGAGCACCCCCCGAACCACAGCATCTCTGCATGGAGCACCATGAGTCCGACGCCAGTTCCCGCCAGCACCAGCGTCCAGCCGGCCAGAGACTTCTCCTGCTCCAACAAGCGCTTTCGGAGTCTCAGGGCCCCCAGGCCAAGCACCAGATCCCCGCCCATGGCCCCCGGGGTCTTGGGGCTCAGCCAGCTTCCTGCCCAGGGTCCCCCACCTCGCAGCACACACAGGGCAGCCACTGTGGCTTGCAGGTCGTCAGCCTGCTCTGCTGGCTCTGGGACTTTTGCTCTGAGGCACAGCAGAGCCCTGTGCCCTCTGGGGAGTGGTGGCGGCCAGGGAGGGCGGGGAGGGGCAGGGGAGGCCCCAGGGTAGGGGGAGGCTCCCCAGCTCCCCCTTTTGAGAATAAGGAGGGGCTAGGGTGTGTCTTGGGGCAGAGCAAGAAAGAGACGTCCATCCACGTGGGTAAAGACACACACCGACACACGATGGGCTTTGTCACACACAATGGTCTGTACCTTGTGACACACACCTCCACTCACCACACCCAGACACCGAAGGACACTCCACGGCCCAAGACAGAGACTAACACACCAGGGCACACAACACAACCTACACAGAGTGACTCACAACTCCCAGCAAGCTCCGAAACCCACAGCCACACCCAGACACCACACACATGGTGTGACACACACCAGCACTTAGCAAGCAGGCAGCGTCCCGTGGCACACACAGCCACACAAACATCGTCCACACACAGGCACAAATATTACACTCAAAGTTGTCACAACTTTCTCTGACACAAAGAGCCTTACCCAAACACCACAAATAGGATGATGCACATCTGTGGCCACACAAACACAACATACATCAGGTGTTACACAAACACATAATATATAGTAAAATACTGACACCCCGACGCCACACACCACACATCTACAGAAACACGGGGCGGTCCCAGTTTCCTAAACACTACACACCCTTGGAATGAAACCCGATATGTGCAGACACACAACATTTAGGGACATATCTAGAGCAGCCCCCGATCACCCAGCACCTAGAGAAATGCACATACATTGTGGCACCTGTTGACTCGAACACAAGTGCTCACGGTTATGATTCAAAACACACACTGATCCAGCGTGCTCCGGTGTGTGATGCGATTCCAATGTATGGTCAGAGGACATGCTGAGTGGATGCGTGCGGAGACCTACAAGGTACAGAGACACACGGAGAAACCCAAGCAGCACATGCCTGAAGCAAGATGATTCTGGTATATTCTGGTCACACAGGACACGACCCAGGATGGTGCCCCGGGGGAGGGGGATGGGGTTGGACCTTCATAGACCCCAGTGCCCAAATGCAACATACGGCTGGGTGCAGTGGCTCATGTCTGTAATCCTAGCAGTTTGGGAGGCTGAGGTGGGAGGATCGCTGGAGCCCAGGCGTTTGAGACCAGCCTGGGCCACATAGCAAGATCCTGTCTCTAAAACAAACAAAAACAAGAAAATAAACGCAACATACACCATCATCTTTGACCCATGAGCCACACCCAAACATCACCGACAATACCGCCACACAACCCAGCACATGTTATATTCCAACATGCGTGGCCACACAGACAACACGCACGGAGTAATACACCAGCACACAGCAACACAAAACACATAGACACAATGTTTCCAGCACACCCAACCTTCCACAAACGACCATGTGTCCCATAAAACACCAGATGTCACCACTCACTGATACCACTGACACTGAGGCCTACCACCACCCACACAACACCAGCATCTGGGGAGCGGGACATATCCTCCGACATAACACACAGCTACACAAACACAAGACACTTGGGGTGGTTGGCACTCAGGCTGGGTGCTGGGGGCTGGGAAGGAAGAGGCCCCGGACAGGGACATGGACCCTGACGTGAGACACAATGTCACGTCCTTGAGTGATACACAATGTTACATACAGGAGACCCACCAAGAGAAAACACACACACTGCCACACACAGCAGCAAATGGAAGTGTGGAATGCGCACAGTGACTCTCAGAGTGACACACGACAAAGGACATCACCATGCGTCGTGGTATGAGCCACTCATGGGCCTGTATACCATACGCTCTGACACAGACCCAACCCTCCTGTGGAGACACACAGCCATGCACTGACCTGGTGACGCACATCGCCTCCCAGCGTCGTGCACTGACCTGGTGACACTGCCCTTGGCCTCATGCACACCCATCTGGGAGGAACCCGCGGACACAACCCTCCCCTTCCTTGTGTCCTAGGTCATGTGGGACCCTGGACCCACCAGCCCCAGGGAAGCGCGACACGCACAGACATGCCTGGTTGCACACCGAGGCAGCCCACACAAACACACCCAGGGACACCAAACCATACACACGGACACGCCCAGTGACAAAAACACAACCCTTGCGGGGGCTCCGCCCCTCAGCACACACGATTACCCACTCGGCGAGACTTGGCGGGAGAGGGCTGGAGACACACCCGGGCGCGCCCAGACACCACACATGCGTCCACTTGGAGAAAGTGCAGCCGCCAGGCACTTCCGAGCCTGCAGCCTGGGTACCCCTGCCCACTGGCCGCCAGGCTCTCCACGTCTCCCTCCTCCCTCTCCGGCTCTTTCTCTAGTTCTTTGGGCCTTGCTTCCTGTCTCAGTCTCTCCTGGTCTGGAAGCCTCTGCTTTTGTCTTTTTTTTTTTTTTTTTTTGTGAGATAGAATCTTGCTCTGTTTCCCATGGCTGGAGTGCAGTGGCGGGATCTCGGCTCACTGCAACCTCCACCTCCCACATTCAAGCGATTCTCCTACCTCAGCCTCCCGAGTAGCTGATATTACAGGCATGCACCACCACATCCAGCTAATTTTTGTATTTTTAGTAGAGACGAGGTTTCACCATGTTGGCCTGGCTGGTCTTGAACTCCTGACCTCAGGTGATCCACCTGCGTCAGCCTCCCAAAGTGTTGGGATTACAGGCGTGAGCCACCGCTCCCGGCCAGGTTTGTTTTATCTCTATCTCTGTCTGTCTGTCTCTGTTTTTCTCTCCCAGTACCTTTGTCTCTCTCTGTCTCTCTGTCTCTGCCTCTCTTAGCCTCTCTGTGTCTCTCTCACCTCTCTGTCCCTTTCTCCATCTTCCTGTCCCTCTCTGCTCCTCTGTTTCCTTCTCTCCCTGTCACTGTCTCTGTCATTATGTCTGTCTCTGTGTTTGTCATTGCCTGTGTCTCTGTCATCCCGTCTCACTCTGTCTCCATCTCTCTGTCTCTAGGACCCTCTGTTTTTGTCTGTCTCTTGCTGAATCGATGTTTCTCTCTGTCTCTGTTTCACTCTCTCCCTGCCTCCTGGTCTCCTTCTGGGTCTCTCTCTTCAGGCCTCTCTATGCTTATCTCTGCCTCAGTTTCTCTCTGTTGTTCATTGGCACAGCTATGGACAACCTCGTTCCTTCCAGTTCTACCCCAGCCCCACTCAGAGGCTGAGGGCCAGTGACCCAGAGACTGCAGCCACCCGAGGGTCAGAAGCCACTAAATAGAGAGCGCTCCAGCTGCGGCCATGCCATGGCATCTGTGCCCCAGTTCAGGCACTTGTGAAAAATGGAGACAGAGACTGACACAGAGGGAGAGAGAGAATCAGAGACACCTCGAGTCGTTCAGCCCAGGGAAGGAGGGGGGCATGTGTTAAAAAAAATCAAACAGACCCACAGGTGCAGAGAAACCGGAAAATAGAATCAAGACACGGAAGT